TCTCCCCTCCCCCATTCCTCTCTTCTGTACCCACACCCCTTCCCCCCATCAAGTGAGGCTAACAACAAAAAGCAAGATTTTCAAAGGCACCAGCACATGACCTGTAAGCCCCGGGCCCAGTGCGCTGTGAAAGCTGCTGCTAGCAGCAGGGGATAATGTGCTCAGGTTCCTAAATCCCCTGGCCGGGGGAGACGGATTCTAGAAGCAGCTGGCCAAAAAGCTCAGGGGAGAAATAACAAGAAAAGGTCAAAATCCGCCGAGTTTCACTTGTGGCGTTTGATGCCCTTTGTGGATTTTTATAGGTAATGTAAAAAGCAGCCCCGCTGGGGCCGCTGGGGCATGGAAAGGTGGCCCGGAGGCAGCCCGGAGGCAGCCCGGAGGCAGCGGGGCTTGCGCCGCGGGGCTGTCTATCAACTAGTCGAGTAGTCGATGGAAATTCCATCGGCTACTTGACTAGTCAATGAACCGCTAGTTAACATGCTGGGAGGGGCCGCTGTGGGGCCAGACTGGGCTCAGACAGTTGCAGCCGGCCGGAAGATTGGGGTGACAGTGTTTTCTCAGTGACCAGTCCCACAACTAGAGGATCTGGGGCTGGAAGAGACCTCGGGGGTCATGGAGTCCAGCCCCTGCCCCAATCCCCCCTGTAACACCCCAACCGCTGGCATCCTTGGATGCTGGCCAATGAAAACTCTACAGTTCAGCCCCAAAGCTCTTTCGTTGTTTAATTTAAATCCGAACACCACCTTGTCAGCGTCCGAGAGCCCCGCTTCCCGCACCCTCTCTTTGTGCCTTGGGGGGGCCGGGGTACCAGAAAGGGCCCAAATTATGTTTCGATCCCAAAGGGAACAAAATTGAATTTTTTGGTCACAATCAGGTGTTGAATTTTTTCCACCGAAAAGAAGGGGGCTCCCCCCTGGCTGCCTGCGCCGGGCGCGAGGGACACAGAGAACGGACACAGCGCGGAAGGGACGTCTCCCTGCCTGGGGCCAGCGTGTCTTCAGGTGTTGAATTTTTTCCACCGAAAAGAAGGGGGCTCCCCCCTGGCTGCCTGCGCCGGGCGCGAGGGACACAGAGAACGGACACAGCGCGGAAGGGACGTCTCCCTGCCTGGGGCCAGCGTGTCTCTGGAGAACTCCCATGATCCTCTGGGGCACTGGGGCAAGCCAGGGGGAAGGTGGGGTGTGGGGGGTGGATGGCAGATGACATGGGAGCGGTG